CGGCGGGCTATCAGGTGAGAGCTGGCGAGGGCGCTGACTGCTTCTGTGTCCGCGTACACCGGGCGCCTGTCCCGCTCCTTCCCGCATTTCAGCCGGTTAGCTGTGCTTCGTCTCGCAGGCGGGCGTGTTCGCCGGGCGGGGCCGGTTCCGTGGGGTTCGTTGTCAGAGGCGTGCGGGTTGTTTTAGAAACAGGACGAGGGATCCCGTCTGCCGCTGTCAGACAGTGAAGAGGGCTTCGCTTTCAAAGACCCTTCAGACTCTGATTAAGGCAGGTGTGCAGGGTCTCAGGTGTGCTGTGAACACCGGTGCTCAGGTGTGCTGGTGCTGAGGTGTACTGTGAATTCAGGTGTGCTGTGAATGCAGGCACTCAGGTGTGCTGGTGCTCAGCTCTGCTCTGAATGCAGGTGTACTCTGAATGCCGGTGCCCAGGTGTGCTGTGAGTACAGGGTCTCAGGGGTGCCAGTGCTCAGGTGTGCTGTGAACGGCGGTGCTCAGGTGTGCGCGTTGGCCCGGGGTGACAGACAGAAGGAGATCGAGGTGTACAGTCTGTCAGTGTGCTGTCCAGGGACGGACCAGCCCAGCTCCCCTGCAGCTTTCCCATCATTTCCAGTCTGTTGAGCTTTCCTGGACTGTACCACCTCTCCCATCCTGACGGGGGGAGTCAGGGCGCTGTCGCGCACACACACACACTGAGCCACGGTGGGCGGGGGTCTTGTCCAGTGTCCAGTGTCCAGCGTGTCTGCTCTGTGTGCTCCAGCATGCTCCAGTCCCGGGCCCGGCGCGGCTCCCTGGCCTCGAGCGACGGATGTGTGGGCAGCGAGGACGACGCCGACGAGGGCCGGACGGAGGGCGACCTGCTCTTCGCTCAGAAGGTCAGCGTGCGTTCACACCTCCTGCTCCTGCTGCAGAGCACAGGCGTGTTCCAGCACGGGCGAGAGCCCTCCCTCTCCATCTCCCCTCTTCGCTCCTCTCTGTCCATCTCCCCTCTTCGCTCCTCTCTCTGCCTCTGTGTGTCTCCTCTCTCTGAATCTCTCCTCTCTCTCTGACAGTGTGCGGAGCTGCAGGGGTTTGTCAGACCCCTCCTGGAGCTGTTGAATGGGCTGAAGAGAGGACGCTATGACCGAGGTACACTTCCCCCACACCCCCAGCTGTGGGGTAGGGTGGGGTGGGGCTGTGGTCTCTTGAGGGGCTGTGGGCTCCCGTGGGGCTGTGGAGTGGGGTTGTGGGCTCCCGTGGGGCTGTGGAGTGGGGCTGTGGGCTCCCGTGGGGCTGTGTAGAGGGGCTGTGGGCTGTGGAGTGGGG